CAGACCGACAGCCCCCTTGTACCAGGGCAGCTGCCGTCGGGGAGACCAGCTCGTGGCTGCATCAGGAGGCCCGCCCACGTCCCTCCCGATGGACCCCAGCGCCAAGCTGAGGCTGCCCACAGACCCGCCTCGCCTGTCCCCCGGCGTCCAGTGAATGACCCCTCCACACCGTCTCCTGCCGCCCTTCAGACCCTTGGTGCTCCCAGAGCAGGCAGGCTGCAGGAGGACTCCCCTTCCGGGTGTCCAGGTCCGGGGTCACTGAGCCTTCTCCTTCTGACAATGGTTGAAGCCCAACCATCTGCAAATACTCCTTAGATGTTGCCCCCCACCCCAGGCAGGAGACCCCCTGGTTGCCCCTCTACAGGCGAGGGCAGGGCTGGGGTGAATGTTCACTGCGGACCAGGAGGAGCAAGCCCCCGTGGGACCAGCTCTGCTCTGCAGCCCGTGACGCCATCCCTCCCCACTTTCCCTCTGGGCTCCAAACATCCCTTTAATGTAATGCTGTCCACTCTGTCCTGGAGGTGTCCACACAGTCCTGCTCTGTGTCAGCCCACGCTCCCCCTCCTGGCCAGTTCTCCCGCACACACTCCTGCTCACCTGCAGCGCCCTGCCCCTATGTGATGCCCCCCAGCGTCTCTGTTCCCCTCCCGTTGGCCAAACTGCTTATAGCCCTGCTGCCTGGCCCTGCTCTCCTTCCTGACCCTGGCTCTGTACTGTTAGCACAGGGGAGAGGAGGTGGGCTGGACCATCTGGACCAGGACCCCAGGTCAGGGGCCTGAGCTCCTGCCCTTGCCCTCAGTCTTGAGCGCGACCCTCCCCTGGAGGCCCTGCAGGCCGTACTGAGGCCTGAATGAGCGAGCGCCTGCAAAGTCATGCAGCCCAGCCCTGAGGGCAGCTCTGTGGTCAGGTTGCTGGGCCGCCACCGCCACCGTGAGCACCCAGGGCAGGGCCACAGGCCATGTCTCCTCCTTCTCCTGGCTGGAGGCTGGTCCCTGGAACTGGTGGGGAACTCAGCAGTTCTTCTGTCCATCGAGTTTGCTGTTAGATGATGACTAGCAGGACCCTGCTGACCCGCCTGGGTGGGGGCCCCTCCCTAAGCTGTGGGCTAAGGAGACATGGGTGGCCCTGGGCAGAGCTTTCTCTGTGATGCAGTGCTGTCCTCCAGGTCAGGCTAAGTGTGGACAGAGGAAGGGGGAGCCACCTGGGCTGGGGAGGCAGGGGCTGCCTGGCACGGGCCGGAGGGTCTGGGGGGGAGCTGGGCTTCCTAGACCAGAGGCCAGAGGCAGGGCATTGTGGGTGGGCAGCTGGTACGGGTGGGAACAGGGTCTGAACCCGGGCAGAATCCAAGAGCCTGGGGAGCAGGGTCGGGGGCCCACTCTGTGGGGCAGAGGACCGGTGCAGCCCAGATGGGGACCGCTGTGGGAAGAGAGCCCAGACCTGGTCTTGCCAAAGCTGGGGCTCCGTGGAAAATTCTCCTAAAATAATCCTGCAAGATAACAGCAGCTCCTACAAGTTACCCTCCTAACCACACCTTCTCAGTGTCACACCACCCCAGAGCTGGTGACTTCCTGGGTCCTCCTCGTTCTGCAGATCCACAGGACCAAAGACCAGCTGGCCAGCGAGACCCTCCAGGACCCACGGTTACAGGACCACTAGCTCATGGCTCCGGCTAGCTCCTCCTGCTGGTGGGCTGCTGGGCTGCTGGTTTTGAGAAACCTGGGATGTTCCATACCTGAGGACGTGCACAACCTAGAATACACAAACACACACATGCAGATGTATAGTGCATGAGCATTGTCACATGCATGTGCACACGTTTACATTAGTGCAAGTCCACACATCTGCACATGCAGGCACAGGTGCCTACACAAACCTACCCCACGTGTGTGTGTGCAGAGTGCCTGCGTGCACACCCATGTAGACGTGCTCTGTAATATTGATTAAGAGCAGAGGTCACATTCAGTCCTTACCCAACATGCTGTCACCATTCACTCAGAAATGCAGAATGAAGAGGAACGGCGGTGACAACTGCTAGGAAGTGTTTTAAGAGGAACTGGGAGCATTAGTGATAACTACTGTGATTATGCCTCAGCGTTTATCTGCCATGTCTGAAAGGCCCCAGATTATCGCATGTTCAAAAGAACATGCTATTGCAACAGGGTAACTGCTAATTGTCATCGATGGTTTTCTTCCAAAGAAGTGGGTGCATCTTCCAGGCAGAAGCCTGTGCAGGTCTGGCATTGATTTTCACCAGATTTTGTTATTACATTTGTCTCACAGCTTTAAAATAGTAGCAAATATGTGCAATTTATTTAAACAACACTAGGGAAATTAACGGCACTCCAGCTCCTCCGTAGCAAATGGAGACAGAGCAGGTGGAGGCCAGCTGTGTCAGAACCTGTGCGAGGCGGGGTCTGGGTGCGGGTCCCAGCAGCCCTGCTGGGGTGGAAGCATCTCCTGCAGAGCCTGGCTGTCTCTGCCCCACGCTGGGAGGGGAGGGCCCCAGCTGCAGACCCTCCTCCCAGGGGTGGTACGTCAGGCCAGGCCCCTCCCCTCGCCCCAGGGCACAGTCGCACTTGGCCAGTCTGTCCTCCATATGGGTTGCAGAACAGAAGTGGCCCATCCCTTCTCCTGAGGCAGGTACCTGGGGACAGGTGACCCTCGTTCCTGTGGGCCGGGGACCTGGGCAGGGCGCATCTGCAGAGCTCCGTCAGTCACCCTGCGGCCCAGTGAGTGCCAGCTGCTGCCCCCCGCAGCCAAGAAGGCATGCTCCTGACGAGCACCTGGTGCCAGCCACTGACCCAGGACCGCCTGAGAGATGAGAGTCTCCCAGCCCCTCGGTTTAAAGGGGGCCCCCGAGGGCAGGGGGCACCCTCGGCCCGCCCCCCCACCTCTTGGCAGGAATATCCATTTCTGCCCTGCCCACTGCACACCTCCCATGAGGACAGGCCAAGCGATGCTGGTCCACGGACAGCCAGGCCCTGGAAGGGGGCACCTGGCCGGTGCTCTGTCCTTGGGGTTGGTCGGGCCCTCCTCTGCCTTGGGTGCTGTGTGGCTTCTCCAAGGTTCCCCTGCTTCTTCCCTAGCAGAGTGGAGGGATGAGCCTCCCACTGAAGTGCTGATAGGAGGATTCTGGGGGAGAGTGCAAGGAACAGTGTTTGGCCAGAGCCTGGAACCAAAGTGTCAGAACAAGGCTCCAGTTTATCTGACATTAAACAACGTCACACTTCCCTCATTCTGATGAGGGACAGGGGAGCCAGGGGACACTTTGGGTTTTTAATAGTTGAAGACTCTTGAATGCAGGCCCGATGGGAGGAAGGCCCAGGGGCCCCTGGTGCCCTCGTCCAGGTGGACTGTGGCACTGGTGGTGAGCAGGGGCAGGTGCCAGGATGGTTCTGCACCAGGCAGGCAGCCGCTCTGTGTGCCAGCCTTATTTCCACGCCGTCTTTTAGCACAAGGCAGGGGCAGCCCACAGAACCATGCTGAGCACAACAGGTGTCCTTGCCTGGGTCCTGGGCTCTGCAGAGGGCCCTTGGCTGGAGGGCAGCCTCGGTCAGGTGCCCCAGCCAGCATGGCCCTCTGTCTTGGGCTGTGCTGACCGGACTCTGCCTCCTCTGGCTCCTGGAGACTCAGACTAAGGTGAGCATGGACCCGGGCAGGGCCAAGCTTGCTGTGAGGAGACTAGGACACAAATGTGTCACCCGCGCACCGTGTGGGTGCCTGCTGCCCTGGGACGTCGTGTGAGCTCTGACATCCAGGGAGCCTGCAAGTAGAGGGGCAAAGCAACAGCACAGAACAAGACCCCAGAGTGGCACGCAGTGTCAGTAGCGTCCCAGATGTGGCTGTACTGAGGGCTTGCCCAGGCATTCAGGGTTTTCCTGGTGATTTTACTACCGTGAGCACATCTCCCTGGACGCCCTCGTCCACCCAGGCTCTCAGGACGCATTTCCAGCTGCGGAGCTGCTGTCCCCAGGCAGGGCTGCTGAGGCTCTGGTTGGCTGCTGGCACCCTGGTGGGGAAGGCTGTGCTGGTCGCAGGGCCCAGCAGCTCTGGGAGCCGCAGTGGCAGCACACGCAGGCTCACACAGGTGACGGCCACATTCCTCATCGTCATCTGACCCAGAGCTCTCGCCACCATGCCCAGTTCAGAAAGAGGAGGTGGGTGTGGAGAACCCAGGGACTCGCTCTAGTGATGCCCAGGAACATTAGGCTCTCATCTGCTGAACCCAAACCCCACACCCCTGCCATCGCCCCCACTCACAGCCTGAGTCACAACGGGCTCCCCGTGTTGGGCGTTATTTCTGCTTGGTCTTGTCAGTTGGACAGGTGGACAGGACACACCACTCTAATTTGGATTTTTTATTGCTGGAAGATGTGGACATTTTCACAAGTTTATTAGCCATTAATATTTATTTTGCTATCTTTTTATGTCCTTTTCCTGTTATGAAAAAATACTTCGCTATTTCTTATTGATTTGTAAGAGCTCTTTCTATAGAGGCTATTAACACTCATCGAATTGCTTATACATTATATTTTCCAAACTTATTATTTGCTTTGTGGGAATATTTTTATAAACAGGAGTTTAAAATTAAAATGTGTCTGTCTTCCATGCTTTCCCCCATTATTTGGGGTTTACAAAGCCCTTACTGAACTGGAATATATAGCTCCATGGTGGATCGTGGGCTTAGCAAGCATGAACTCCTGGGTTCAGTCACCAGCACCAAATCATAAATAAGTAACAGGAGCCCTTGTCCACCTGCTGGTGACATTGTTGGTGGCTGTGCCCCTCTTGAGCTGCCTCTCCCCCTCTAATCCTGTAACCCAGCCCCGAGTATCGATGAGGGTCTTGCCCGATGTCTTCCTGACTCTGCCCAGAGTTCCCAAAGTTCACCAGCTTTCCTCTACCAAGAGCGGCAGGTTCTCGTAACAGACATGCTTCTCCTTGGTGCAAAACTTAACCAGACTCCCCTGACTCTTCTCTCCCTCCACTCAATGCTGCAGAGAGGAAAGAAGAAAGACGTGACCCTGGACCCCTCCCAGCCCCCAAGGGACACACTGCTGCCCTGGCCTCCGCACCAGCGCTCCGGGGGGCTGAGGCGGCAGAAGCGAGACTGGGTCATCCCCCCCATCAACGTGCCGGAGAACTCGCGCGGGCCCTTCCCGCAGCAGCTCGTGAGGGTGAGTGGGGCCCTTCCTGCTCGGCATGGGGGTCGTGGGGGGCGGCCGAGAGCCAGGCAGGCTCTGCCCACGGTGTCAGGAAGGCCGAGGCTGCCCTCATCCCTGGAGGCCTGCGCGGTGCAGAGCAGAGGCCAGCAGGGAGGGAGGCGGGGCCCAGGACAGGGGCCTTCTTTGTGGTGGCCGATGCTCTCTGGGTTACTTTTGAAGGCTGTCTCGTGTGGAAGCAGGTGGAGCAGGGACACGGAGTCGGCCTGTGACCTCTGACACACTGTGGTCCAGCCAGCCGCGCATCTTTCCAAGCGGCCTGGTGGCACCTCTGTGCCGTCCTCCTGGCACAGAAAGCCAGCGTCTTGCATTGGGCAGGGTGCCACCTGCTGCTTGTGTGCCTCCAAGCCCCCAGCAGCCGCCGCTGGGGGTCTGTGTTTCTATGGTCAAGACGGTCACCCATCGGCCAGCATTTTCTTCTTCCCCTTGAAGAAAATCACAACCCAGTCTGAGCTGTAATTTGACAAAACGATGGTGAGATTCTGTTCGATGATTCCAATCCTCGGTGGAAAGGCCTCGTCCCTCTCTTTGGAAATCAGCCCCCAGAGTGTGGAGAAGGGCGTCCTGTTCTTGGTGCTGATGAGTCGCTCTGTCCCTTGTCCCTCTGGATGCACAGGACTGGGCTGTGTTTAGGATGGAGAAGGGGCCGGGAAAAGGCTTACTAAAACAAGCAGCCAGGAACTTCAAATATCTCTTCTGAACATAAAGATTTAAAGAAAATGTAGTCAGAATGAATGAAGAGATGGGGAATAAACAGCAGAAAATGGAATATTTAAAAATATAACCAAATGGAAATGGCAGACCTGAAGAGTACGTCCTTTCTAATGAAAACCTCGCTGAGAAATAGGTTGTAGAAGGCAGAGGAAAGGGTCAGTGCATTTGCAGATAGATCAATAAGATTATCGCATTTGAAGAATGGCTGGTGGGAGGACAGAAACATACAGTTTCAGTGGGACAATGACAAGGGACCCAGAGAAAGACAAAAGGGATATTGAGAAAATTCATCAAAGAAATAAAGGTTGAATTTTCCCCAAATTTGGTAGAGAAACAAACATATAGATCCAAAAAACTTAATGAATCCGGACAGGATAAATCAAACAAAGCCGTTCCTTACACTCAAACTGCTGAAATTCAGCAATAACGAGAAGCCTCCCGAGCAGAGGGGAGCAGTACCCACCGATGGCCGCACAGAGGAAGATGGCAGCCACAGGCCAATGGGATGACCAGAATTCCACACCCAGACAGAATGTCTTCCAAAAGGTGGAATGAAGAAAAGTCGTTCCTGATATGCAAACTGAGGGAACATGTCACCAGCACACCTACAGGAAACGTGAAGGACGTTCTTCAGCTGAAACCCAGTGACATCAGCCCAGATTTCAGACCCACAGGAAGGGATGGAGACACAGGAAGAGGCTCTCTGGGCCACTGGGAAGACAGTGACCTTCCCTTAATTTCTCACTAAGTGAAGCCGGAGGGTTGAAGCGTGGGGCTGTATGACTTGTGTAGATGACACATGACAGCAAGATGACAATCAGCCAGACAAAGACCAGGGGGCTGAAGCCTGCAGTGTGCATCTCCCTGTTTCTGATAACGGCTCGGTATCGGCTCTGGGGGCTCCAGACTTTTCTTGTTGGGATGCCTGGAATTAGAAGAATGTCCTACAGAGGTACAGGTTGGAGCGTTAGCTGAGTCCCCGCGGAGCAGAGTCTGCTGACCTCCCATCCCTGACGAGCGCGTTTTCTGGGGCCAGAGAGGCCATGGTGATCAGGGCATAAAGGAGCGACTGTCCCTGGGAAGGAGCCAACATGTTCCCAGAATCCAGTCGTGTTGGCTTTTCTCCCCAATAAACAGATGGTGACAATGTGGCACCTTCCCTCTGTTCAGACGCAGTGACCATGACTGGATGGGGAGACTACCTAAGATTGACTGTGGGAGCCACCCCTGGGCCATCAGCTCAGCCCCAAGGAAAAGCCTCTGTGGAGAAGCCCTAATGCAGAAATAAGGTGGCCCTTGGCCCTGCCCGTCACCTGCAGGGGCTGCCTCTTCCCACCCCAGGTGGGGGCGGTACACCTGGGGCCTGGCCAGTGCTCCCCAGTGGTTCCAGCGCAGCAGGTTGGGCTGTCCCCAGCTGCCCCAAGCCTCCCCGTGACCACACATCTCACTGTCCTACTGGGAGTTCATACCGTCCTGGCTAAAGCCCAAGGGACGTGGAGAAAGCGGTCGTCCAAGGACCTGGTGCCTGGTTCTGTGGTTTGATCAGTCATGGGAAGGGAACGTGCAGCCCTGTGTGCACCCTCCCCATCTGAGCAGGAAATGTCCCCCGGCTTGAATTGCTTTAATGGCTGTATTTATGCAGCTGAAAGTTTCTTAAGAAATGAAAGTAAAATCAAATTGCTGCAAATGCTCGGATAATTTATCAGAGAATATTCAATTAGAATACATTAATATTTTAGATCTCCATCATCAATTTAATATTTGGGGATTTAGTGCAGTCACTGACTGCAGTGCCCTGTGGCGGGTGTCCAGGGTGAGGGCTCCAGCAGGGGCACTCCAAGTCCAGCAGTGGCCATAGGCCTCGTGTGGCTGGGCAGGACGCAGACCAGGTGTGGGCCAGGTACAGGGTAGTGGGGTCCAGGTGATTCAGGGTGCAACACCCTGAGAGCCAGATGCAGTCAGTGGGGAGTCTTCTCGGGATGTTGGGGCAAGGTGGCCCATCCCTTGTTGTTCCGGGGTAGCCTTCACTCTAGAGCGGTGGCCCTCTTGGGGGACCATGAGCATGTCCTTGTTGACACCAGGGGACAGCTGAGTCCTCACCTGCTGAGCCAGCTTGCCCTCTGGGAGGGGGCTGTGGAGGAAGCAGGTGGGCGGGGTGGAGGACCAGAGGACATGGGTGCCAGCACGCTCTCTCAGGTAGGTAACTGAGCCACCTCTGAGGAGGGAACCCAGGGCAGTGGCGGTAGAACTGTGCTGACTGGGGGCAGGAGCCTCTAGAGAGGCTCAGGGTCCCGAGAAAGAGCCAGGAGGTCAGAGTGACAGACAGCCATGCCCAGGGAGAGGGTGAGAGAGATGAGCTCAGAGAGTCAGGGCCAGGTCACCGGGGCGGGTGGCTGTGGGAGGACTCAGCATTTTACTTTGAGACTCGAAGGGACCTGATGTGGCTATCAAGCACCGCCCCCATGCTGCTGCAAGTGAGTCAGATGGCAGTGACAAGAGTCACAGGAGGAGGCTAATGGGGGGAGGGGGTCCACAGGACCCCTGTCCAGAGACAGCAAGGATCAAGGGAAGAATATCTTGTTTAATTAAAATAAAGGCTGGAAACCCCCATAAATCCTTTTATTCTTTAAGTTTGTGTGGCAAAATTCAAGATCTGGGAGCCGACACCCTGAGACTTGAAAGATCCTTGGGTCCTCCCTCCCTCTGAGGCTGTGGCTCCAAAGAGCAGGCCATGGCCATCCACCCCACCCAGCCCCTTCTGCCCTGGAGGAGCCCAGCTGGGGCAAGGCAGGGGGCGTCCTCGGAACAGTAAGTCCACCTCACAGGAGGGGGCTCTGCTCTCAATGTGACCCAAACATGTGTGCATCCAAGCTCCCCGGCTGTGGACTGCCTGTCCCTGCTGCTGGCCGACCAGCGCTGATGGCTGTGATAACGATGACGATAGCAGTGATGATGATGGAGGTACTGGTGATGGCAATGATGGGTGACGGGGAGACGGTGATGCTTTGATGTCAGTGATGGGGATGGTGGTTACTTACATGGTGATGGCAGTGGGTAGTGGCAGAGTGATGGTGGTGATGACAGTGGTGGTGATGGTGATGATGGGGGTGGGGATGGTGGTCATGGGGGTGGTGGTCATTGGGATGGTGGTGATATGGTGATAGTGGGGATGGTGGGGATGGTGGTCATGGGAATGATGAGGAGGAGGAGGAGGAGGGGGATGATAATGATAATGGTGCTGGTGGTGAAGGTGATGGGGATGGTGGTGATGGGGATGGGGATGGTGGTCATGGTGATGGGGATGGGGATGGTGATGGGGATGGTGGTCATGGTGATGGTGATGGTGATGAGGATGGGGTTGGGGATAATGACAATGATAATGGTGATGGGGTGGTGGTGATGGTGGTGATGATATGGTGATGGTGGTCATAGTGGTGATGGGGATGGTGGTGATGAGGATGGTGGTGGGGATGGTGATAATGATAATGGGGATGGGGATGGTGGTGATGGTGGTGATGATAATGGTGTTAGGGTGGTGGTGATGGTGATGATATGTGATGGTGATGATGGTGGTGATGGTGATGATATGTGATGATGATGATGATGGGGTGGGAATGGTGATGATGGGGATGGGGATGGTGAGGATGGTGGGGATGGTGAGGATGGTGGGGATGGTGGTGATGGGGATGATGATGGAGGTGGGGATGGTGGTGATGGTGGTGATGATAATGGTGTTAGGGTGGTGGTGATGGTGATGATATGTGATGGTGATGGTGATGGGGGTGGGGATGGTGATAATGATAATGGTGATGGTGATGTTGATGGAGGTGTGGATGGTGGGGATATGGTGATGGTGATAATGATAATAGTGATGGGATGGTGGTGATGAGGATGGTGATGGGGAAGGTGATAATGATAATGAGGATGGGGATGGTAGTGATATGGTGATGGTGATGGAGGTGGGGATGGTGGGGACGGTGGGGACGGGGACGGTGGGGATATGGTGATGGTGATAATGATAATAGTGATGGGATGGTGGTGATGAGGATGGTGATGGGGAAGGTGATAATGATAATGAGGATGGGGATGGTAGTGATATGGTGATGGTGATGGAGGTGGGGATGGTGGGGACGGTGGGGACGGGGACGGTGGGGATATGGTGATGGTGATAATGATAATAGTGATGGGATGGTGGTGATGAGGATGGTGATGGTGATGGTGATAATGATAATGAGGATGGG